ACCTCCTGAAAATTAAAGGTATGTTGCTCCGAACTTAAGGTCTTAGTAGCCCTTCACTATTACATTTTGGTGCCACAAAGGGGCGCCAAAACTTCATGCATGGCGGCGTGCCCCCCTCCCCCCCCCCCCGCCTTTTCCTTGGACCCACCATGCCTGCACAGCATTGTTCGACCAGAAGCAGAAGAACAAGATCTTTTAAAACTCATCAACCTGCCCCTCATGACGAAAAGGTTCCCAGATAGCTGGGACGCGGCATGTGTTGTAACAATTCCGAAGTCAGGTGATCTGGCTATAGCTTCCAACAATAGGCCCATATCTCTGCCCATTATGCTCACCACGACCATGGAAAATGCACCTTGCATGCAGCGAACGGAGGATTTGAAAGCGACGGGGCTGCTACATCCATTCCAGCATGCCTATAAGCTGCGCCACCCCATCAAGGATATCGTGCTTGCCACAGTCGAACGCCTGGTCACTAACACCGGCGACGGTCTTGTATCGTCGGTAATGACGATCGATCTATCAAAGGCGTTCGATAGCGTCGACCACGACGTCCTCCTCACCAAGCGGTGTTGGTATGGGGTTACCGATCTGGAATGGTTTACGAATTATTGAAATGGTCGAGGGCAGGTGGTGTGTGGAGGACGACTCACCATGCCCACGTCATGCGGTGTGCTACAACCAAACGTCGACTACACAAATACAAAACAACCAACTCTGCTGCAAGAGTAACTACCGGCTCCAAAAAGCACCATCGTGCAACTCCTGCTCTTAATTCCCTTGGAAAACCGGGGATCGAGGCCATGATGGCGCATCGCGACGTGGTTAAAGCGTTTTGGGCCCTGAAGGATCTTGCGCGCCTCACAAGGTCCGCGCGCTTTTTGTCTCACGTGCTTCTGTTTTGATCCGTAAAAAGCGCCCTCGGATGGAGTTAGTCTGCGCCTGCGTAGACACCGGTTGACCGCCACGCAAAGAGCGTTTTCGCATCGGACCGCCGCTGCCTGAATCCGCCTGACATCGTAGGCCTGTAACGCCACAACACTGAGCGCGTTTAAAATCTCCATATGTGATGTGATTTTGACCGATGATCTGACATGGGCTGAAACTATGATAGGCCACCTTGCGGATGGTTTCGAGTATCCTGATGCTGATCCGACCGTCCTGGAGCATTGCCATCACACCATTGAATAATTATCTTCGCTATTCCTAATGGGCTGCCTTCCCACAGCCCCCTGGAGCGGTCCTGGAAACGGCAACATTTGTGGATACGTGCGGTATCCACAAATGTGGACATCACGCGCATGTCGCTCAATAAGCGACAAGCCGACAACATGTGCTTGTGACCACTGTGACCGATATCAAACTGACTTTGCCCGGACCTGTCTTCTATTTGGCAGGAGTTTTTGGCAGACCGACGAAGTTTTTCTTTGACCTCAGAACACTAGAGTTGGCTACCAGGTGTTCGAACAGCAAGCTACGCTGCCAGAAAATTCCGGTACGAACATATTTCAAGAAACGATTCAAGTGGCAAAATATTTTTATGCAAGCACCTATATCAGCATTCGGCGAAAATAGCTACAACGCCGGCAGATGACTTTGTTTGAGTCCTTTCAATTGCCGATCGTAATCTCTACCGGCATTCCAGATGGCCACGGCTAAAGATAACCTTATGTCAGCATACGGGTTATTGAAATCAATCTAATCTTCGATCACAGATCCCACGCGTCCTAATTTGACTTGCCACATGCATGCTGTTTTTTTTTAACTGCGTCGTTAAGTTTCCAAACTTCAAGCTTGCTGCTGAAGACAAGGCTCCTAGTCCCGTTGTATACGAACCAGCGCGTCTGTTCACACTTCAAATCGACGTGGTTCACTGAACAGTGCAAACATACAAGCCAAGGGATATAACCGGCTGCCAACTTGCCACCGGGTTACGCCGATAATTTTGAAACTTGAAATACTGCAGGATGCAATTTCTTTGAGACATTGTTTCGCCTTAACGCCAGCAGTCTTCCTCTCTTTAGATACACCTTTGCACATTTCCACGCGTGTATGCTGTAATCTGTCGTCTTAAAAGCGGCGTCTTGTCTTGTCTCCGCCTTACAATGTTCCGCATGGAGACGATGAGAGCTACCCAGCTGAATCGGTCCCTCTATTCCAGGTCTACGGTGGGCTTTCGTTCTATTTCATTTGGGAGCGTCCGCGCCGCACGTGACGCCCCGCAGGCACGGGGCTGTGTTTGACGGCTTGCGACCGGCCGACATGCTTTGAAATACGCGATTTCAGTCAACTTCAAGCGATTGCTGGCAGTGCTGTCAAGCAGCGTGGTTTAAAAATAGATTGGATGTGAGCAGCTTCTCAGAGCAGCATTTACGCAGAAAGGAGACGTGTAATTTACATTGAATCCTCTATGCTGTTTAAGTGGCGCGTGCATGCCTCGGCATACGTCTGTGAACTGTGCACGAGTTGTGTGCCATTATTCAAGCCCCTGTCATGGCGAAGAGACGTAAGCTTCCGTGCCGCGCGTGTTTTCATCACACTAGGTCGTTTGCAAAGATCTTATATTTGAGGATGTTTTAGTGGTGTGGTAACATCATGACGCTTATGGTACGTCATTAGTTCTGAGGTAAAACGCATAATATCCCTCGTCCAAATTTGCCGTTTTTCATGACGCTGACTGATGAGGGTTGGGGGTGGGGGGGGGGGGGGGGGGGGGGGGGGGGGGGGGGGTGGGGGGGGGGGTGGGAGGGTGGTGCGATCCCTCGGGGGTTTTCTGACCACTAAAGATAGAGCTCAGCCGAAAATATTGGTGATTGGTGTCAACGACACCTAGCGATTGGTAGTAGCTTTTATGTTTATGTCGGTCAAAAATTGATCCCGTTGTTCCAAGGTAAAGGTCGATTTTCCCAGAAAGTCGCACTCTTATCTAACAACATCATACCTACCAGACCATACCTTGTGGCGATAGGAAAGTTAACCAACCGTGTTTGTTGTTCAATTCTGGGTACAATGATATACGTTGTTATGTGTTTTTAGCATTCAGTTATGGTGCATTGCTCCGTTAATGTAACAATGTAGGCCCGCCGCGCGCGTTCCGCAGGCACGTTGGTTGCCGCCTGCCCGCCCGCTCAGGTTGTGTACCGCCGTGCAGTGTTCCTAAAAAACCGCCGCTGCTCCGAAACCAGAGAAGCCAGAAACACGTTTGTGGTGTGAAAACACGCGCAATGGATGCCCATACTGAACATTCGGGTATGATCGCACAGCATGCCAGACGGGCATTCTATCAGGGCGAGGATGTGCTTGATTTAATTAACAAGGAAGCATGTTGAACAAAAAGCATTTACTTATAACGTCACGACATGAAACGTCACAACAGAGCACCAAACATTTTTTCCAGAAATCTTGAGAAACCAAATCGCGCGAGTGCTTTGGATATTCTGGACAGCAGCCTACACGGAATCCAGCGTTCACCGAGAACAGGCTGCATAGTTATATGCGCGTCAGCGTCTCGTTTGATTGCCCTGGTCACGCACACCCTATCGGAAATCATGGATCATAGGTTTTGACCATTCTTATAATTTGGCTAAGACACCGGTGACGAGAAAACACTGAGATCGACTGCGCAATGCGGCGACTTGTTCCGACTAGGAATGAATGTATCCGCTTTAACACTTCACAGTTTAGGCTTTTTACCCATGGACGGCAGTAAGAGGCCATGCATATATTGGACAGCTCTGTCTTCCACATAATCATCTGGAGCCTTCATCGCGCTATAATGGGAAGGCAGCGCATGCCAGCGATTTTGTGTCATGGATTTTGGAAGTCGATTGATGTTAACATAATAAGTTATCACTAATAAATGGCGTTTTGTAATCCAAAAAGTAGTTTTTCCCAGACGAAAAACGCTTTCGGTTAACGTTAGCAACGTTTGCAGGGTGACCACTTTGCTATGAAGGGAGCGTAAATGCCCTTGAGTACAGCTGACAGCAAAGAGCTTCTCCGAGCTCTTCTCTCCTTCTCTCTCTTCTCGAGAGAGGAGAGAGGAGAGAAGAGAGTCGGGAGATGGAGCGCTTTTCTCTCTCTCTCCCTCTCTCTCTCTCTCTCCTCTCTCTTCCGTCTCTCTCCTCTTCTCTCTCTCTCTCTCTCCTCTCTCTCTTCTCCTCTCTCTCTCTCTCTCTCTCTCTCTCCTCTCTCTCTCTCTCTCTCTCTCTCTCTCTCTCTCTCTCTCTCTCTCTCTCTCTCTCTCTCTCTCTCTCTCTCTCTCTCTCTTTCTCTCTCTCTCTCTTTCTCTCTCTCTCTCCATTCTATCTCTCTCCCTCCCTCTCTATTTCCACTCTCTCTACGTTCACTTTCGCTCTCACTCTCGCTCTCACTCTCACGCTCACTCTCAAGTCCACGCTCACATTATCACTTTCCCTGCGATATATTAAACCTACCTGCTGAGCATGCGAAATCGGAAGGCCAAATCTACATAGAACGAGTTATCACGCAAGAAAATATACTAAAAGGATAAGGATTTCCAGCACTGTCTTGGGGGATGAGTTTAACGACAACGTAAAATTACTACACGATTCGCTGGTACTCTTCGTCCGCAACAATGGTCAGCACAACGCAAGGTCAGCGTAAAGTTAATTTAGTTTAAGAGACAGCGGAATAAAATGTGTAGGTTAGGATGGCGTTGGCGGAAAATTACTCCAGCAGATAACGTGCACAGGCAATGACTGAAGTAATATTGCGAACCAGTTTGTGTATCGCACAAACTGATCGTTCATACTGGTGTATTGAAGTGCATGAATGGAAGTTACCAGTCATTCTACAAGCATGACCCCAGCACTTGAATCGCTGAGCTCAGCTACAAACACTGCAGGGCTGACATATGACTGGGCCTTAATCCACAGGGCAGACCGAGATTGGACGCAAGAGCACTCGGGCCCGATCATTCCCTTTCCGTGGGAGTGAGATGAAATAACGCAACAAGAGCGTGTATACGAAGAGCTCACCTGATCAGTATCAGCCTCTCAACGGTAACCATGACGATGGTCGCTATGGAGACGGTGGTCGAGATCGAGCCGACGCCCAGGTACAAGTACACTTCGAAAATCTGCCACCAGTAGCTGGCAGCGGCAGCGCCCTTGGCAATGCCGCTGAAGAATATCAGAAGACACGTGACCAGATCCGCGATGGCCAGGGCTGCGAACAGGCAGATCACGTGGTGTTGTCATGTGTCTGAGCCGCGCTGTTTATATTCGGATATTGGCGTCGTTCGTTTTGTTTTGTTTTTGTTTTGTCGGCTGAAATGGCAGACGGAGTGGACGGGGCCGCGCGGCAGGTGGCCGCTGCAGATGAGGCCTGGTAACGAATGGGCGCAGCAGCGGGCCCAGCATCGGCAACGACACAAGGGCCCAGCGCGTCCAACCCGGCCGATTGATGCTGTGGGCGGCAAGACGATTGATGTTTGAGTTATTGTCAGTCACCTCACGCCAAACATGATAATTGTGGGTTCGTTTACAGATAGACCAGCAATATACCCACGGCGACAGCAGTGTTTGACCATGTAAATATTTGGGCATGGAGGGCGATGAAAATGCAGCTTCTTCCTTGCAGAACTGCCAGACCGTGACCAGCCATACTGATTGCCAACATTCAGACTCCTAATTTTAAAGGATATGACAGCGTAATTCCAAAGACCCACGGAAAGTACATGGATAGCGCGAAGACCCAAAGATTACGCGACATGACAGCATATCTTAAATCGTCATCCACCCAATCAGCTCACTGTGCGCAGGGGTTCGCCACAACCAGCACACAGCACCAGGACGGCGTGATCCTGCCCCCCCCCCTTGATGTCCCCCCCCCAGCTCACTTGTGAAGTATATATAGATGGAGGCCTTCATCTGACCGCGCGTAAGCACTAGCAGATTGAGCGTGTTTCCCAGCACGCCGCACGCTGAGATGGTTGGGATCAGGATGTTGTAGCCGACATACTCCAGCCGGACGACGCTGTCTTCGGCGCCTGACACGTTCATCGTGGCCATGACCTCGGTGACCTTGCGCTCGACTCCAGGCGAGCGGTACGCTGCGGAGGGGAGTGGGGTTAGAGCGGCGAGGGCCAGTGAGGAACATATGCTGGTTAATTGATTTATCGTGCATCGCTGTGGGTTGCGGCGAAGCTGGCTGTATCACCACACTGCCATGTGGGCTACCAAGTCATTGCAACGATGAACGCCACTGTTATCATAACGCAAAAAAAAAACAGATACTGGCAGATGCTGTCAAACGGATGGATGCATGATTGTACGGTCAGAGTACCAGAACTGAGATGTAGACTTCCATGACGACATTAGGGCCACGAAGTTATGAAAACTGGGAATCGCCGCGTCTTGTTGATACTTAAGGTTTCGTAAAGCGTCCTAAGCGTCGTTAGTCTTCGCTTCCACAAGCACTCGTAATATGGCATCCAGAAGACCGAAACAACTATCAATTCTGACCTTCGACACTATGGCTTCGTTTAAGCAAAACTTTTAACTGCTTATGTGACACGTAATTGTAGTATCATAAATCATGGACGAAGGAACTGGAGCTGTTGAGGTGACATGGGCTTGCACTGTGCCGCCACAGGCCATGTCGTGGGGCCAGGTTTACCCCATATCAGCCTCACAGGGCTTCTCAACCATTGGTTCACATGACGTAGACCAATGCAGCCATCCAATGGTACTTTAAACGTGTCTATGCTTTGGTCATGACTCCAGACAGTCGTAGTTGACAGTGTCACAGCAAAAAATGTCCTACACGAGCTGACTACAAAATAAACATATTAACACACCTATACCTTCATAGCAGGTTGTAGCCACAAAAACCGTCGTCCAGAGTCATGTTTGACTCAACTCCACATTAATCGAACGATCCCATGTTAGCTGGGAGCTGATTCATGATTGGTGCTTTCGTCGTCGATCGTCCAACACTTCCCACACCTAAAGACAATGCTCGATATTTGAAGACATTGAGGGAATTACTGGGCATGGTGGAAAAGCTCACTTGCAACAATAAGTATGCTTTTAAATGCAAAATACTGACTGAAATCACGAAATTTCAACACTTAGTAAAATTACTCCTGAATATGTCATCGTTGGACAACGTCTGGGAACACTGGCGTGACGTCAGAGTCGTTGCCAGATCGCCAGTCGCTGTAGCGGACGCAGCGACTCGCTTGTACGTTGCGTGCAGGAAGATGGCGTCAGTGGTCTAGGCGTGTACGTTATTAGCGGCATCTGGGAGCGTTTTTGCATTCTTTTGTATTGTTCTTGTATATTTTCCATGATGCCATACTTTTAGTCGCATTTGCGCTTTCGATTAGTGCGCTATTCACCGTGCATTCGGCTATCAGCTTCACTGCACGTCAAAATCTGTAGAACTGCCCAAATGCATATGCTATCCATTACAAACCGCGATAATATGATGTCCTGCATATCGAATAACTTCGCATCAGACTGCGAAAAATAGTCCGCACAAGTTCGCGTACATCTAGCTTCGAACGACCATTTCAGGTCGTAAGAAGGGCATAACCGTGAAATGCAGAGAATGATCATGAACATGACCATATCAGTTCAAAGACTCATACAAGTATGAGCCAGTCTCTTAAGGACGTCCCAATTACTGTTAAAGGGAGTGTCTTACCGTTGGGGCATGTTTCCAAAACATACTCAACATCCGGCACCTGCGTCTAATAGTCACACGGGATAGTGTCAGTGCAGCTCGATCAATATGTAATACGATTATTCATTTCAGTTATTTTCGAGTCCAAATTAAGCTGTAATCGCTTTGCAACAGCACTACACTTCTTCTTTTCCTGTAAGCCCCAGAAAGCATTCCGAGTCCGCGACAACTGCAGTTGTCGCGACCGCCGTTGTCATGACGACAGCGTAATCTGCTGAGGGCCGTTGTCAGCTGTTACGGGTTAGAGACACCACTTTTATTACGCTACTACCGGAGACATACTCCATGGTAGATCATCATAAGAGCCGCATACCGCCTTGAAGAAACTGACGGTGAGCAACGTTCTTCAAGCGGGCGAGCTTCTCACGACATGAACAGAACCAACGGTAGCGTCCAGCCTTGCACTGAACGCCTTGAACCCACAGCTACGCCGCGAAGCGTGCATTGGAAGTCACTCGTCTCAAATGTCACGTCGGTTGAAAAAGCCACGTGGCAGACTGATCACGTTCGTCGCAAGGTGCTGAGGCCAGCCACGATTCTTATAACGAGTAATAAGCCTACTTATTTGGTACTTTATACTGTTCAATATGTGAAGTGGAACCTGGCTGAAACAATTTGTGAATAGCACTAATCTGAGGGGCATCGGAAAAAAACACTCTGTCGCCACCGATCTGTAACGTCAGCAGATACATAGTAGTGTATTTCTGTCATCCGCTACCAAACTATCCTGGTTGAAGCTACTATGTTCGAAAACATTGCATGGCACAACTTGTGCAACGAGACGCCAATGCTTCGGCATGCAATATATATATATATATATATATATATATATATATATATATATATATATATATATACATGTACACTTAGGGTTATTTTCGAACCTGTATGGACATGTATAACGTGATGTTCATTCAAGCTGAGTGTGTACTGCTCCAACTAATTCAAAAAGCAAGAATTCAGTCAACTCTGACTTGAATCATGCGAAACACAACGGACTCGAATGGAACTTGATTTACCAATATTTGGTGTGCCCCTTGATTTGAATCTAATCTCAATCGAATCCAGCACCAGTCCGCTGTCGTCATCCCTAGCGGTGTTGAGACGCGTGGCGACAAATTACAGGCTGTTATTGAAACAATCAGCGCATTGCCCTAAGGCGCAATTCTCCTGACCGCGCGGCCGCCCGGCGGGGCTGATTAAAAGGGACGGGCTTCCCGGCACGGTTCGTGGAGACCTCCAGGCAGTGGCGCCCCGGCATGGGACATCGCGTCACGCACTAATGCCTCAGAGGCCTCGGAAAACACCACTGCCGTTCAGTTACGAGGACACGTAGTGTTCAGCCAAGAGCACCAGAGATGTGTGCTGTATACTCGATCACTGGCGTGGTGTATGGCACAATGAATTGTATTGAATGAAGTTCTTACGAGTGCACGTCTTCAGATTGAAAGATTGCTTTGCGCTCACAATGCAGCGATTATCCCAATTTCATTATGTTGAAAGGGCCATTCCGCTGGAAACACAGTCGTCCTGCTCGGCCTGCAAGCCAATCAAGTTACGTTACGAGGTTTCGAGATAAACGCATGTTAAGTGCAGTTGAATGTAATTAAACTGATGCCATTAGACGCCTTCAGCCGTGCTGGTCACAGCCATGAAACCAGCAACGTGCGCCGCAAATTTGGTGCGGGAGGAAAGGGAGAGGGGGGGGGGGGGGGGGGGTAGCTCGCCCGGCTCCACAGTGCCGCAGAAGTGAGCTGCGCCGCAGTGACCTCGCTGTAGTCTAGCCACCGATCAGTGGAAACAGATAAACCCGCAAGTCCTGTAGGTGTGTCATTGCGGGCGAGGATGTGTGATTACTGAAAATGCATAGTGTAACAGGCTCAGCATTCATGTTGTTACATTTTTGTATTTAAGTACTTGACTCCATATTTAGTTGTCACTATTCTTTAGATGTTTTGCGTTGATAACATGCCATTTGATGAAGTGATAAGGTGAGAACAGTCGTAAGAGGCAAAACATATTATGATACGCAAGCACTCTTACACTCAGGGCTCACAGAAGGTAACAAAAAATACAAAACGTGTTCGGCGACTAGTCCTTATCAGTTTGGGAGTAACAAACGCAAACAGTGAACACCGAAAATTTTGAATAAATTACGCACATCACCGAAAAGGAATTTAAGCCACGCAGTCTGCCTGTGTTCAAAACCCGGTGCCTCATTTAGAATTGATGTTAAAGGTGGTGTTCCACATTTGTATGAGCTTTTGAAATGAAATAACCATCTGGGAGATCATGTGACGTAGTACACTGTCATGCCTTGCTTTATGGGAATGCTTCACTTTTGAAGTTACTGAAGCAAACATCAGGTACGTTGAAACAGGCTCACTTGTAACTATTAGTATAATTTTTAATGGAAAAGACTGCTCCAGACGGCCCAAATATCTGTATAGTGAATCTACTCCTCAATGCGTTGTGGTTTGATTACGTCATAGTGTCTTGCACAATATTGATTGAGAGCCAATTGACGGCCTTTATATCTGGAAGTCGTGCTCATGAACGCCAGATGGGAACGCCCCGACAATGTTATTTTTTGGTCTTGGTACCTGCATGACATGTGAAATGGCAGGAATTGAATGACGTTATCATGACGTCATAAATGCCAAGGTGGCTTTGAAATACTGTCCCGATATATCTTTCCTATTTTCGCGGGCGTATAGCTGAGAAACCAGAGTGGCTGAGGTCAAAAGGTGGCCGAGGTCTCGCGGCCTCTCCGCTCCGAGCGGCTCAGAAGTCGCACGCTTTGATAGGGGAATCGGGGAATGGCGTGGTGCCAGTCTTGAGCCATACATGTCTCGCGTCCACGAGCTGGCAAAACTAATTCGGCTGTTTTTTTTCAGGTGTTGTGCCACATCTCGGCGCTGTGCAGGTAGGGACGTGATCTCATCTCAAGGAGCCCAGCAATGTACCGTTTAAAATTTCGGTGCATATCACTTTGCAGGACGAATGGGTGAGCTGCCAATCGTCGGAGAATCACTTGGTGCAAGGTTTGCATTCGCACGTGTCACGCGTTACGTGCGGACGAGCCAGCAAAGTTGCTGTTGCTCTTTCTGACCGTTTTGCACATTTTCTGCCATATCTTGGCGCCCAGAGCACCTAGAGACGTAAACCCACTGAAAACATAAATAAATAAATTGTCCACAGTCCCAAAAAATGTCTTCTGTCTGCTTTGACATCCTAATCAGAATGCCGTAGGGCTCTAAAACATGCAATAGCATGCTTCGGCCGTATTATTATCAAATACATGTATTTTCGTCAAATTTGAAGTGGGCGCCTTGTTGTCCTCTGATCGATTTATTGTGGAATGACCCAGCTTAGACTAGTCTGCAATGCCCCAAGTTCTTATCACGGTTTTTTAAGTTGAAGAATATCTTATGGCACCAGGTTAGGAATAGCTGATGGAATCGTGGTATTCGTATGCATATCGAGTAGATCGGTGATGAATCGGCTTCCCTGTTTGGACTACGATGCAGTCCCATCGCAGTACTCGTCCGAAATGTTGGACCGCCCAACTGCAATGACTATCTCATATCACGCGCACGCTATCAGCGTTAGTGCACTGGAAGTTGTTGAATGCCACATGCACGGTTGTCCACTGTCGCATGGCCCATCGAGAAGACCTTATGGGGGCAATTCGACCAAAGGTCGGCTTTGCTACGCTTTATCCCGCGTCTAGAATGCAATGTGAATGTGATGTGCGTTCTTGATCATGGAGGTTATACAGATGCCATGTGAGCCACTTGAAGCATGTACGACCATGCCATTCCAGCCAGATTGCAAGTGCGATAAAGTTCGAAGTCGCGATAATGCCAGCGTGCGCATTAGCGAGGGCTGTTCTGACTAGCTGGTGACGGCATTGTCAATGCTATTCAAACATGGCTGCAAGTCAGGACGTCTTCCAAAGTAGGCGAGGAGGGGTGGGGGAGGGGAGGGGGGGGGGGTAGGAAAGGGCAACATGGCCCTTTTCGTCATCGGTTCTATCGTCGTAGATATACCAAGCAAGGGAGAAAAGGGACATTATAGATGGGTTATTACGTCAATGAAATAAACTGTTTTTTCTGGTCTGAAGTGGGCCACCTACGTATATCTCCGTTGACATATGCATTGACCAGCAAGGACGGAATCCTATCGGTACCTGTTTTTACAAATAGGCTTCTTTATTATCACACAATGATAGGAAGACGAAAGGGGCGCCTACCTGTGGCGTAGAAAAATATATTCCGGTATTAATCGCGCCACGTTACCAGAAATAGAAAATAAAAAACCGTAAAAACACGTTGCATCCGAAGCATTGTAAGGTAAATTCATTTCACGGTGTCGAGACAAGAAAATGACGCCAAAACAAACGAGCACCATCAGTAAATACTTTCAAGAATTGTGGCTGAAATCACCTGCCAGAAACAGAAGTTATTTTGGACAGCACAATCCACAGGCAGGCACAGGCCTGTGCACGGCTTTGTCTCCATGCCGCACCGTGCAATGAATCACTCAGTTTAAACGCTCAGGTTGGCTTGTCAGGCCGGTTTACAAATTTTGTAACGCGACGGCTGCATTCCAAATTTTGTTAAGGGGATTTCATTTGCAATGAGATAAGTTTCAAGACTATTTCTGATTCTTTTATACAAAATATTTCTGAAACTTATTCAAATGACCAAAGTTGATCTTCAACACGCTTTTACTTGCGTCGGCAATGATGCCGCGACCTTGCGAAATCAACTTTTACCGTGGCAAAATTCGTCAGATGACGTAAGTTTCCCCGGCAATGCCCTTGCTAACAAGATTAAAGGCAACCTTGGGTTGAATGTCAATTTATGCACCACCCAATTCATGCATATATACAAAAGGGGGACATTGTTTCGGTTGCAGACGCACGGGCGGAAAGGCGAACTGTCTCCAACTTCAACCACCAAGCACGAAAGGCACCCCTTTCCACTGCTACATTTCAGTTACTGGACGGCACTACTCACTGCCCCCCCCCCCCCCCCCCACATCGTGTAGGCCTCTGTTTGTTTATGTTTGGGATTGTGTATTGGAGAGGATAGCACGGGCTTCAGTGCCCGGCACGAGACCACTGGGGTTGGGGGGGGGGGGGGGGGACGGGCAGCGCGAGTGACGCACCGGCTTCGACCATGGACGAGCAACCTTGGCCCCTTTACCTGCCGGAACCGCGGAAATGCGTCGCGTATCAGCTGCTCGTTCTACGCTTTTCGTACCGCTTTCGCCATTCTGGTGTTTCAGTGTTATTGTGGTTGTTAACCAGAGACGCACTCGATCGGCCCTTACAGACAATGCAGATTCCTGAGACTGGCCAGCGTAACTGATAAATTAAAAGTATGTGGGTCGATTTCCTGCGGCGCCCGCTGTTCCTACCAAGAGGAAAGGCAGGCATCGCCATACAGTCTCTGCAGTTGAATACGTCCTGCAGCTCCAACAACAACCTAATCTTGCTAATAGCCTCCCGGTCTTTCACTCTAGGCGAATCGCAGGAGAGTAGAGCTTCTTTAACTCTTAAAAGTAGCAACATCTTCCGTTCGTAAATCTCTCCCCAACGTCCTGATCACATTGTGTTATTAATCGCCTGCTTCGCGCTGCTGTAACACTGCCCATTTTCTACGTGCCATCCGTGTTTGCGCTGGAAAAGTAGCCAGACATCCATGTTTGCCAGGCATCCTGGTGAACATAAACCCTTCCCAAGTCCATTTCTTAGAACAGACCCACGGCTTTCTATCAACGGCACCGAGCCCGCGCTCAGTTTTGCATGAAACTGCAAGTGTCTGAGACCCGGTCAATGCAAACCACGAGCGTCGATGAGCCCGCCTCTGGGTCCCTCAGGTGCGCGCCGCGGGGCCGCAGCTGTGGTGCTGCGTCACGACACGGCAGCGGCCGGCCTACCTGCGCTGATTTCGTCGGCCTCGTCGCGTCGCGATGCACGGCGCGCACGCTCGCCGCGGCGGGACCCCCGGCGGGGACTGCGGCCGTGCCGTCGCTGGCAGCACGGCGCCGCGAAACCGGCGCAGGCGGAGCGACGCGCGCCCTGGCGTCGGGGGAGGTCCCGGCAACTGGTGACGCGTTGACCTGTGACCCGTGGCGCGGCACATGACCTTCGAAGGTCTGTGACCGCACAGCGACGGTTGTCTGCCCGCGACTTCTAGTCTGTACACGATTGCAAACTTTTCATGAAGTCGTAACAGGCAAATTGTTGCTGGAATGCTCCTACACCAATCCACAGGTCGAATGACACTAAAAGTCGTCAGCTATAGGTCTGTTCAGTACTAGTTTTTGGAGCTTTGTATCAAACCTCAATTCTGAATTGCTTTGTTTCACTGGAACATCATGCATATCAATGGCCAAAATATTTCAGAGGCGTACGTAAAACAGTAACGGGGATGGCGTTATAGGCGTTGTGTGTGGTTCTAGGCCACATTTTTTTTTTAGAGAAAGCGAGAGGGAGATGTGAAACGAGACGTAGAGCAAAAGCGAGGGCATCATGCGTCTCGGTCGTCAGAAAACTTCATAGGCGTTCATAAAGCATTAACAGGAATAACGTCTCAGGCGTGATGTGTGGCTCTAGGCCCCGTTTTTAGGTAGAGATCAAGGGCGGAAGAGAGAGAAGAGAGATCTGCTTATCATGATCTTCTCGTTCGTCCTTTTTTAGGCTGCTGCCATCATACAAAAGGACGAGAAGTCGATCCGAGGTATCGTGCCCAGGAAATGCCAGCTTGTGGAACTTTATGACAAAATTAAGCTGATCATTTTCTACCGGCGCCCTAAAGTGACCAGCCCTGTTATGAACAACAACTTGTCCCAGACCCGGGTATGCTGAGAAATGACCAGTGTTGTGTACCAGTTTCGCTGCAATATCGGTGCCTGCGCGCGCCGTCCGTGCGATATCTACCCAGGTCACGTGACCAGGGACCTGGGGCGGGCGCATTACGATGCACCTGCAAGATGGAGGTCCTCGTCGCCATCTGAAGGAGGTCCACAACAGCCGACTGAGTAGATAGCCCATGATTAATAGCACCATCATTTTCGCCCATTGCTCTGACAGGTGGAAGCTTCTAAGTTCCGGAAGCACTGTACATCTGCGACAACGACCTTGTCGTTAACCGCCAGGTCAACGCGAGACGCACACTCTGCTTGTCGGCGGTGCGCCGCCTCAAACATGACGACATATGCTTGTGCGTAATGACTTGAGTACTTCCAGGTGATTAAGACTGCTCTAGCCAACAACATTTCATTATTTTGTATAAAGAACTCCTCAATGCATCATCGTTTGATTTCGTCATGAAGCGTTTGTATGACGTCAGAAATGCTGCTGGATAACCGTGTCAGAATTGGCTCTGTAGCAGACGGGTTGACTCACCTGTGGCACTTCAACATGCTGAGAGGTGGCACTTGCCGGCACGTTCTTGCTAAACCCTTATACTGTTATGTGCGCTTACTTTGCCATTTTGTGTTGTTCTTGTATATTTGTTCGTAATTTCATATGGCTTGCGAACATTTATATACTTGGGTATGGCGCTATTTGAATGATATATGGTTCCCGACCTCACTTCCGTCATGGCTCGCACCACTACCCAATTTCCTGTATTATGTAGCACAATTTTTAAATTTTTGCTTACCAATTTGGTCCGAATCCTTCGAATGCATGGATTTCTGGGACCAGCACTCACGCTAAGCAGCGCTTGTGTGAGCCCTGACCCCCACCATCCGATCGCGCAATTCCAGGGAACGGCAGAATTTAATGGCGGAAGCTTTACGTGCCGCAATGCTCGGCACGGTCCGTCCTGCCCCCCAGACGTCAACTGACCTTTAGCACGACCGCTGCTGCCAAGGGCAAACAGCGAGCGCCCTAAAGCGACTTGAACCCATCCCGCCACGGGTGGATGGATTCAACACAAAACGTTTGTTTATGTTCGAATCTTGCACTCAGCACATTAAAATGGCTAAGACCAACTGATGACACTAATCGTGCTGACGTGCGCCATCCACGAATAACATATATAAAATCCGTTCTTGGTCTTCAGCATTACATGACCAATGAGGTGGCGTTCGGTGTGACGTTTATGTGACGTCGTGAATGTATTGGCGACCTTTACATGGTTTACACGAAATAGTCTGCCCAAGTTCGCGGGAGTCAAACTAAAAAACAAGAGGGTGCTTAGCCTTAAAATGACATTGTAGTGCACAGCACCGAATGGTCTTCGAAATGGCTGTCAAGTTCAAAACCCCACACAAATGTGTGCAACACTCTCTTCAACAAGGATCATTTTCAACGTAACTGTATGTTCTGTATCCTTCACCGACACAAACAAAGCTTCAAAAACTCCACCTGGGTGCATTTCAAAAACTCCACCTGGGTGCATTTCAAAAACTCCACCTGGGTGCATTTCAAAAACTCCACTTGGGTGCATTTCAAAAACTCCACCTGGGTGCATTTCAAAAACTCCACCTGGGTGCATTTCAAAAACTCCACCTGGGTGCCCAAGTTCATTTATGTAAGGTGGCGCTTGTATCCACTACATACACTCGTTATACGATGTGCTTGCCGCACTTTTTCATTTCTTCAAAGCGTCATTTACGAAATTTGCAATCTTGTGGTCACGTCGACAAACCATTTAGCTTGGTGGATATTTTATTATTCTCCAAAACTGCGCGACTGACGCAATACATTTTGTTTTTTGTTGGAAGGGTCCGGCAATAATTCTCACAAATAATTAAATCGCAGTTGGCCACCTGAAAAAGGATTCGGGCATTTGCGATAGGACAAGAGAAGCTATCTTTTGTTGCTTAAAAGTTCACTGCGCTGCGGTGGGTGGTTGAAACGACATTCGTTCATTACAGTATGGCCTGATCGCTCAAATTTGACTGTTCTTTACCAATCGATGCAAACCGAGTCAGCGTGCGGTCTGGCTAGTAATAGCTTGTGGTAGAGAAAATGACCCAGCTCTCCGGACTCGCAGGAGGACTTACGTCTTACCAGCAAAGCCCACATGAATTTGGCACTCATAATCGTGACTTTAAATATAGCTTGACGATCCCGTTTGTACAGATAATGGCGCATACCCCACGCCTTTCTCCTTACTACACGCGTTCCGAGTGCCTTGGGTTCACAGTACCTGCTAAGTACATCTTGTTTCGTACCCCTTGGACCCACCACTCAGAGTCTAATCGTCCAGTTCCATGGACAATGTTGCCTTCGCCCTGTCGCCAGGCAGGACGCGAGGGCTTTGCGTGTCACATGATGGTGCGGTAGGGTCACCACGACCTGGTTTGACGCTCTCTGGCCAATGACCAGCTGACCTTTCCGGCATTTGTGACCTGGAGGCTGACCTTGATGTTTGTGCGAAGTCGGTATCCTTATGCTCAAGTCTAGTTTTTGGAAGCTGATCTAATTTTTTTTGTGCAAAGTTGGTTTCCTCATGCTGAAGTTCAGTCTATAACCATCAAGACGGCTGGCCTTTATTGAACCGAAAACAGATTGTCTGTCGCTAATGCAACCATACCCGTTTTACTCAGCAATGCGATCGGTTAGCAACACAGCTGCGAGCGTTCATCACAACAGCGCAAGTTCTGCCACTCTAAGGGACAATAAACAGGAATTGAAAGCGATGAAACGACGGGGCAAACCCCGAGCTCAATGATCTCTTCACCCACGCACAGCGGTGCTTTCCCAGGCGAGTTTCTATGCCGTCGTTTCCGCGCAGGCCAACAAAGCTGAAGAACAGGCAATCTCCGAACTCTCAGCCACTCACCGTTGTACTCAAGCTCAGCCTTCGCGTTCTCGAGTCATAAGTATTGCTACATCCAACGCGGTCCGCTCAAACACTGGACGGAGATTGAACTAAAGGACTTCAGTTAAATACGGATGCGTGACATCATGCGTAATAATTACTCGGTTTCAACTGGCGGTACAACATAGCCTCCTTCCGTCTATCTCTTTCAACGCCAGGGGCGGGGACCGGCCACAGTGCCTCCTTCCCCGGATGCCTCCGCGCGCCTCTCAAGCGGGCGGACAAGGTTCTCAGCTGTCCCCTGCTCCCAGCCGGCTTCGTGCCAGTCGGTTTGGGGGCACAGCCGGGAGCTGGTACATATTAGTTGGTAAATACGCAGGACCCTCTCGGTGGGCACCACCTTAACGCGGTGCGAGGTATTGCGTGCTGCCCAGTTGGCGTCAGGGCGACTGGGCAGTCAGACCAAGAGTGCCCAAAATACTCCTGCTTTTGTTGTGATTGTGATTGTTCACCTTTCCTATCTAAACATATCATCGCTAGCGTTACTGATGTGAATTAAAAAACGGCCTTCGTATAGCTGCGCTCAAGGTTCCAACCTGGCCCAACGTTGCTTACATTAGTGATCGAACAGAGGGGCTGTCACCCGGCAACCAAGAGAGAGATGCAGGGACATGCTTTGTGTGAGTAGAAAGCCCATCGTCTGCCGTTGCAAGTGGTGTGCTCGAAAGCTGTAAACATGGGTACTCATCAATGAAATAAGAAGGAACTAGCGTCAACTGGACTACCAACGCCCTCCAAAACGAGCGGAGAAGTCATTTAAGCAGAGGCCACGTACAGGATTTACCAGCAATGTACGAACTTGACAGGACGATAAATAAGTCAGTACCAAGTTACAAAAAAAATCCTGCCTTGGGGAGATCAGCACCAGGGAGTCCCTTGTGCCGGCTCTGCACGCACAAGTATATCCATTGCACCCCAGCAGTAAAGGCCGGACCGAAATGCCGGTACGCTTAGCCAACGCTAGTAATGTCCAGCAGCTTTCGCCCGGCTGCTCAACGCACGACTCGTTTATATTCGACGAGGCGGTGATTGGTATCGGTTTACCGGAGACATTGTGTGAAATGTCGCCAAGCGCATGAACATCCCTGTGTCCTTGAAGATTTGGTCCGCGGTGCCGGTCAGCCTCAAAGCTGTCCAATTTCAGGCAACGTGGTGCGTAAGTTAGTGAATGCTGTGAAGGACTTAACAGTGCATTGGCGGGACCAATTGGCATGGGGTTCGAAGGTGCCGATTTCCAGCAGCTCACGTTTTAGTGATTATGCATTAATGGTACTTCTCACGCCTGCGATCCCCTCGCTCATCCAGGGGCGCAAAAGGCGTCTCACTGGCACTAATGTTCTGAAATGCTGGGAAGTAGCCGGATCTCCAATTAGCAGCAAGTTTCACTCATGCACCGTAGCCGGATGGAACTTCGCCGAATGCGGATGAGTGCCGCTGGTCCGACCCGGTCCAGTGGCAGACTGTCTGGCTTTGAAATGTTGCCGTCATTCTGGGTACACCTTCCAACAGCCAGGGCCATGAGGATTGCAAAGGGGCCCTAACGGCCTTATGGAGAGTAGGGCGTGGGAAGCTGATCTGGTGGAGCGGAGCAGCTCCGCTTTTGCGCTCTCGGGTGGTGGCCAATTCCCCGCTCTCTACGTTTTAATGTTTTTCCAAAATTCTCGAACCGCGCGGCGTAACCACGCCAAATTTTGTCTAGTTGTAGGAAATTGACGAATCTTTTGAAACCAAATTTAGATGTACCTAGTGATGCCACTGATCTATGCAAGGTCAAAGTCACGCCGTGGCTCTCAGCGAAGGCAAATTTTGGGAGGCGACAACGAAGTGTAAGATAAGGCCAAACATCTCTATGGTAGTTTCGTTAGGCGATAAAACAATTAAATTTAGGACGAACTTTGTTTGTTTCGTTTGTTGTTTGTTTCGGCGTGAGCCTGAAGCCGCATTTCCCAAGCAGACACCAACCGGAACTACACTGATCAGGGCCCCAGCGTCCGTCAGGCCCCACAGCGCGGAACAGGCGGCGCTGTGCTGGCAAGGGTCCCAAGTTCCCCAGAGGCAGTGCTCGAGGAGGCTCGAAGAGCATGGATTTCTCGCTGGGACCGAAGGTCAGGGGTCCGATTAGGAAGTCCAAGTGACCGAAGGGCTGGTCGGAGTCTAGTCAGGGGCCCCAGCTTGCGGTGATGGGCCTTCAAAGGACAGTGAGAAGGACCTGTGCGCTGACCTGTGACCCCTGAGTCAATAAGGACCTAAATGTCGGCCACAGTACCGCACCACCAAATGACACCCCCAGCACTGCATAGTCGGTTCCCTGCCGGTATGGGCCTGATGGATCTGGGGACC